AAAGCGGAACCTCGTGAACTGACTTTCCTCAATCGTAGGTTTCATTCTCTCATTTTCTACTCAGTCTAGGAATTCATTCAGTACTTCAACACATAGAGTGTAATCCTGTTATACGTACTGTAATTTTGTGATCAAATGTTCCGGATTCGTCACTCCTCCTCACGTGACTAGCAGACTGCTTTCTGGAGCTCTCCTTTCCTGGCACTCCAGTCAGGCATCTTCTCTAAAAGAAGTGCTTCACACTCTTTGCTCCATCTATTTCTGCCCCTTCCCTGGAGAAAGCTTTGCTGATGTTTTTCACCTTCGCCAGGCCCGTTTGGAACTCATTAAGGAACTGGTAAGAGCAGGATAAGAAATAAATGTTGGGACCAGTATGACACAATAGTACCAAAGTATCCTTAAAAAGTCCTCCTTTTCCATGTAATTGCCAGATGGCGAAGCACGTAATAAATAAATAAAATCCCTTAACAGAAAAACAGATTTCTCTAGGTTAAATGGGAAAAACCACGAAAATGCCCATGCAGCTAACCCGTTCGCCGGATTCGAACCCGAAGCCGGACTGCCAGTGTTTAGCGGCTTTACCGCTCTGCCGCTGGTTGGCACTGGTCAGTAACGGAGACAACTGTCTGATGTAGAATTGTTATGCAGAATCTTTGAAAGGCTGTTATTGGGTTCTGTAAACCAAATAAAGTCATAAGAGCAGCCGTTATGATCAAGAGACTGGCGTTTGCTCTAAAAGCAATATCACGCTGATCCGAGTATTCTAGAATCATGCCAGTTTCACTAGTTAGAGTAAATTTCTTATTTTTCGAAGGTATAGTTGTTACTGTATTTGGGAGAAGTGTAATGTTGAGCTGAATACAAAAACTTTATACCAGCAGAGATATTTCTATGCTTGTTTGGAGTGATATATCAGAACAGAACAGTGAAACTTGGGTTTATCAAACACATAATGAGATACGAGAAACACTTTGATATACTGTGAGAGCAGTGCTTGAAGAATGTACCTCGAAGTCAGATTTAGGGTCAGATTTTCTTTTCCGACAAGATAATGAGCTCAAACATATAGAAGCAATAATAAAACTGTTTTACCATTGTAAAAACAACTTGGGACCCCACCACAGTCTCTAGAAACTGATGCCATTGAAAATTAAAAGTACTAAAAAGGCGTTCCAGTACTAGAAAAGTACTTAAAAAAAAACATCTTACTAATGAACAATGATGTTTCGAAGAAAATATTCAAATAAGAAGGGGTTAAATTATAAAAGAACATCACGAAAATCTTTTTGAATACATGCAAAAGGCTATTGAAAGCTGTTATTAATACCAAAGGACAAGATCAAAGTATTCAACCTGTAAGATAGTTTTTAAATGGAGAAAGTTATACAAGGTGTTTCAGTTTGGCGAGTCTACGTTTTCAGTCTTTTGAATCAAATTATCTTTGTAGATAGACTTGACTGATCTGGAACTTGAACTGTTGATCTTTTTATTTCTTTACTAAATGAAATTTGCATGCATAAATGAAGTTAAAGATACAAGAAAACTCTAATCCTCGATTTAAACTGGTGGACGTACTGCAGTTTTATTCATATTACAAAGAAATGAAAATTTGAAACTCAGTAATATTTAAAAATAATATTATGAAAATTACTTTCATTATACGTTACACATGCGGAAAACTAAGAAAACGCCTGTGAAACCAACCTGTTCACTGGGACTCGAACCTCGGACTACTCTTTGTTGGACTTTTTGTTTCATAGTCATGGTTTTGCAAGGAATAGATTTTGGAAAACTTGTACTTTCAAATACTCTCAAAGAAGGTAATCATACTCGAAATGTGGAGTTATCTTGCGCATGATGGAATATCCCATTCCCATTCTATGTTTAATATCATTAGGGAAGACATTCTAAAAGAACTTTGATGGTCGCTTTCGAAGTATGGCTCGTTTTAACCTTTTGCGAAATCTCCCGATTCGTCATAAAACCACGTGGAAACGCCGCATTAAATTATAGATGAAGCTGTTAAGACCTATTACAACTGTCACTGTTATTTTCTACCTTATATTTGTAAATCTTTTGCTGATTGCTTTAGTCATTAATAATATTATAACTTTTAAATGTAATTAATATATAAAAGATATATTTATGGTATCTAAAATATTTCATAAATATTCTGATATATCGTATCAATACCACTCCAAAAAATTTTCATTTGTAGCTAAGTTTAGAGTTCTTTTATTTATTTATTTATTTATTTAGCTTTAAGGTTTGATTTTTGTTTCATTTGGTTACGGCAAAGCACGTGAGGGCTATCTGCCTGAGAGGAGGAATACCTTCGTGGAACTAAGGAATTTCGTGATTCTAAAGGGCCATTTACACTGCTGTTTATCTGAGCTAACGGAGTCAGTTCCATGTGTCGACTTGCTCTGCTATACGTGAAGTTCAGATTCTTCAGCTCATTTCGGTATGAGGAAAAACTGGTTTCGGAGCTGCATTGGCTATGTCAGATGCCTCCGTTAGCTCAGATGAACCCCAGTGTGAACGACCCTTTACACATGGGAAAAGCCACCCAAAACCTATCCATGCAGCCAGCCCATTAAGTTTTCAGTGCTTCAAAGAGAATATATATGTATAGTTGTTTTTCAACATAAAAGTCCTAGTTAGTAGATTGCTTAATTAAATTTTATTATCGTAAAACAAGCCAGTGTACTTATTTGAGGGAGTAAAACGATGGACTCGTAAATTTATTTTGTTTGTTTTTTTTGTGTCTTCTTTTACTTTTTGGCTCGTTTCTAAAGGAGAATTTATGGTTATTTAACTACATATCAGCCGTACTCTGAAAAACATTTTCTGCTCATTTCATGCGATTGCATTAAACATAATTCTCATTACTTTAATATATAAAGTATAACTCTGGGAAATCTTGAAGAAAATAGCAGTAATTCTTCATGGTGTTTGACTAATTCTCCAGGAAAACCCATTGTGCACTGATTTAACGGCCCTAAATAAAAAAAACGTTTATACAGCCACTTATACTAACGTAAGTAGCTGTAGAAGATAGTATTTGTTTAATCCATTAATGGTAAAGCACACCAGGACTATTTGCCTTTATGTAGGACTTTCTAACAGAGAATAGCTCGTATTTACGTTAGACGTAGAAAAAATTTTTTTTGACAGAATTCCATGTGCTGACTAAAGACAAATTCTTGTAGTTAGAAATTAATGTTGTGCAAGTTTTAGCTAATTCAGATTAAAAAGAAAGAAAGAAAGAAATAGTGGAGGCAGAATTTGTTCGTGTAATAGTTGTTTTCTTTCCTCGCAAGACAGAAAGTTAATGAAACAAATTTCAGAATACCTATTTCTAGTATTAATCTCGAAACTTACTTCTGATCTCCGTAGAAGATTCGAGATAATCTTTCTAAATATTTTAATTTCAAATACTTCTCTTCTCAGTGCAATCACGATTTAGAGAATTTTCGAAAAGAAGGTTCTGATATAATTTGTGAGTTTGATTATTCTTTTATCATTTCAAGTATACATTAATTATATAATTTTTCAAAATAAAAGATGCATTTAAGTAATTATCCACGCAATAAATTAATATATTAATATCGTTCATTCAAATGTTAGCAGATTTAAAATAACAAAGAAAAATATTTTACGCAAAAAGAAAGAACTTAGCAATAAATGCGAATATAAACAGAGAAGCCGTAAAAGCTCTTATTACATGAAAACATTTCACTGTAATTATTAGCTAAAATGGATTAAATAAAATACTTAATTATAGCTTCTTCATTTAATCAATTTTTCCATATTCATTTAATTAAAATAAAAAAATATTTTCTTACCTTTAACAAAAGCATATGAAATATATTGCATATACAAATATTTAACTCTCAAATCCGTCCTCTAAAAATACACTTCTATTACATTTTTGTTATAACTAAAAAATCGGATTCTGTGTAAATTCTATATAACTTCTTGATCGTTTTTGTCAGTTGTGGCTCCGTTTACCAGGTTTCAATTAAAAAATTCGTCAATTTAAACTTAATCGTTTTAACCATGTTATGCGTCATAAACAGTGTGAGAAATACATTTTTGTCTTTCCTCTTCGATGGTAGCTTTTGGATTTTATTACCAGTTAATTTCTATTTTGCATCACAGGAAATTTTACGCAAATGTGTAAAACATTCGAAGCACAAATATTAGTATTCTAGATGCAGAACAGTTATATTCATCTGTGATTTGGCCGAAACTTTAAAACTTTTTATTAAGTACTTTAAGATGGCATGTAGTAACATATTTATATCTTTAAACGATAAATTGTAAGGTGCTATAATATATGATGAACTCTCAAATTTCGTGCAGTCTTATATCTGAAATTTATACTGCCTACACACCTGTCTTCCAGTTCACATGATCTATTGATCTCGCTAAGTGATTTGCTGGTTTTGGAAAAAGGCCAGTTAGAAAATATACAAAATACATATTATTGTTATGCTATGAAACAGAAGAAGAATACGTACAAATCCGTTAACATATATCAGAACAGTTAAAGTAATTTTAAACAACACTTAAACAATGTCTTACGTGTTACTAACACAATGTCAATAATTTATTCCTATTTTCTGTCTAGGAAATTGATTATGTTTTTCATTTTCCATTGCACTCCTAATATTTAAATAGCTATCATATACTTAACTAGATAAATATTTAAATAGCTCGAACAACTGCCTCCGACACACTCTAGAAGAATATGAATATCTCCCAACTCCTTCCAAAAAAGGATCAGAATTACTCTTCGTTTTCCGGTGATTTTATTTCCCGACTACAGCAATATAAACAATTTCTCCCTGAAAGAAAGGATGTCGCGATGACGTTAGACATGATGTCACTAAGCTCCGAAGTCTCTCCCATCTTAGTGATCACAAAGCTTGCGCAGCCAACAGGTTTCCCGGATTTGCGCTACTACGCAGGGTTACAACCCCCTATCGCTTGAAACATATTGCTTATGAAAGGAAAGGTTAACTTGCCATTGTTCAGCAGTTAACGCATTCTTTGGCTCATTAAATTCATCATGTGTTTATTTCTAGCCGCGATTTTTATAAGTTCTGTTTTTAAAACCGCGTGTAAATGAGGCGACGTTGATTCGAAACCCTTCAATTGAAAGTATTCTGTTTATTTCAAATTTATCAGTAAAAAATATAACTCTTGGTGGATTTCATCATTCCTGTTAAACAGGTAAATCTGTTCGAAAGTTTTAATTAGCTTAGTAAGAATCCTACGTACTCTTTTGACCGTTTGATTTATTACTACGTTTTTCATAAAACCATTAATTCGCGCATTGTGTCAGTCACACATATCAGTGTTTCTTACGTAACTGAATAGTAAGAAAGTCATACTTTTAACACCTAGTTAAAAATACATTCCTTAAATTACTTTACTTATATTTTATGAATGGATGAACTTTATGTAATATTGTGTTTAATTTTTTTCAAGTAATTTTTTTCAGAAGATTGTTATAATTTGTTTATATCTGCATTTTTTTCTGTCCTTTTCCTATGATTTAAAATTCCGGCTGAAATGTTTCTTTTGATTTCATCATGAAGATTTTGCTATATAAATTTTTTGTCATAAAGCCGCATAAAAATCATAAAATAAATCTTTGCAAGTTATGTTTTGCTGAGTAAATACGTCTATGTAAAACGAATTGCGAAACATCTCTGATAAAACTGAGGGGGGGGGGAACTTAGTGTGTTTACATTTAAGAACAGTTTCAGCTGTTTGTTAGAGATTTAATGTGTTATTAAAATTATTGAATTGGTACACTGAATTAGAATTGAATCTCCTGTTAAATATGTAGATGAGTTATTCCAGTGCAAATAGTTCTTGTCAAGAAAATCCGAAAGACTTTATGTATCGGGAAAGGAGGAAATCTGGGTTTAGATAGGCACATGGGATTTTACTGTTCTTGTTTTGTTTATGAATAAGTCTTATAATTGGATTCTATTCTGTACCACACTGCAAAATTTGGAATAAGATGACTGCGTTTAACTAGCCGTCTAAAAATGTATGCTGCGAATTTCCCCATCCCCAGAGAAGTTTGTGAAACTCTTAAACTGGGAATGAAGCACCGAGTGATTGAAGAAAGCTTTTCACATTAATGCGTGAGCTTTTGCTGATATAACCATATATAAATTAAAAATAGATAGCAATCATGTATTGATTTATTATTTGCTTTGATATTCATAATTTAGTGAGAGTTAAGATTTTCTGTCCTTTCCAGATTTTCGAACTCCTTCGCCCCACAGAAAATTGTAAGAAAAGACTTCAATTAGGGGGGAAAAAAAAAAAAAAAAAAAAAAACATAGATTTTTTGAAAAAAAAAATATTTGGTACTTTTCTGTTATCGGGACCGGATTCAGAAATGTATGTATGTACGTATGTACGAGTACACATACACACATAGGTACATACATACACACGTGTATACAAACGTACTTCTCTCAATCCGGCCCTGATAATATAAGAGTACCTAAAATTCTATCGATTTCGAGGGTGATAAAACACAGGTCCCTCTTCTTTAAAAATAAAATATTTTTGAAGACTGTCTAGAATGTTTCCTGGACCTTTCCACTGTGTTTCAAAAGATCAGGAGGAGGAATAACTGAGCAGCAAGGGGAAAAAAATGTTTCCTTCTCACTTGTCCTCTTTTCCATTTGGGCAAGCTTGTGAAGAACGAGCTGATTACACTTGTTGTTAGTTAAGACTTATGGATAACTGCGGTGACCTTATTTTGCCTATAACCATGATATTTTTGATCGAGAGTATACTGGAGGATGATATCCAAGGTCTCATTCTGTGATTAGCCATTGAAAAAATTATGAACAGATAGATTTTATGTGCCCGAATTTCGAGTAGAAACGATTATGAGAAACATTCTAATCTTACCTAGGATTCGAATTTATTCTTATCAATGTGTAGCTATCTCTAATGACCATCACATCGAACGGATGAGAAACGACAAACTGTGCTTGCTTGTATAATTCACTTTGTACTGAAATGCACGATGAAAAATCTGATCCACTACTTCGAGATTATCTAAATTCGCCTTTCGCATTGTTCCGCTTTCGAACTAGAACTGTGAGGAATAATGAATCATAAATTATTGAAATTTAGGTAGTTAGCTGATGAGAAAGCCTGCAAAAGTTTTAGTCCCTTAAACCTACGATCTATATAAGGCGTGTGCTCGTACTTTTGATTGTCATGTACTTTTTTTATGTGCGTCAAAACGTTAGGAAAATAAGCCATGAAAATTTAAGATATACAAATTTTGCTTACTTCTGAAAATGTAAATTTTTGAGCTGCTTTCTCTGAGATTCACGGCTGTTCTTTTATTTTGTAATCTTTGTTAGTTTAGTAACTTTTGTTTAATTATTGCAGGAAGACCAAACTTCCTAAGATATAGAAATAGTAGTTTAAGGATATTTTTTGTGAAGAAAGTTGTATTGGTTTAATCATTAAGTCTACAAAAATTATTAAACACCTCTCTTTACCAAAATGATCAAAACGTTTTTATACACTGTCATTTGAAGGAAAATAATACAGAATGTATAAGTATATAGATGAATTTAATTTTGCTTGTATCGCAAATGTATTTTATAACTCTTTTACCAAAAACTGATTCATCACTTGTTTATGTTAGGCTTTCAGCTATTAATATTCATCTGCAGGTTTTAATGAATATCATGTATAAAATACTATTTATGTATGTCTAGAAATTTATGTTTAATTATTTCGAAAACACGTAGTAAGAATACTGAGATCATTACACAATAACTAAAAACCTGAACTTAGTTTCACAAAGTAAATTTTTTTCTAATTGAATAAAATATGGGAGAACAAAGTTCAGTCATATAAAAATCTATTCCATCAGAAATATCAAGATTTTTAATCTTCGTTCATGCTCAGCTTTGTATTACTTATCTACTTTGGGGATTCATGTCTAAAGACTTCATAATCGTGATCAAGAAAGTAATATTCATTAATTAAAAGTAATATTCATCATAATTAAAAATAATATTCATCATAATAAAAAGGTGTATACACAGTTTAAGAATAATTCATATTTAATAAGATTTACTTTTGATTGTAATAATACACTTTAAGAATCGAAATTTTTTTATAGCATTAAACAAAATGTAGTAACATAGCAAAAACAAATTACTTACTGTAACTTATGGGTTATATTTTAGAGAAAACTCTTGGGCACTCAACGTTTAAAGTTTTAAAGAATTCACGCGATTCTATTATCCTGTAATGAATATCATAAAAATTTGTTTCGTGAAAGCAAAAATGTCATGTATCTAATTCTGAATTATTTTGAATTTTTATCAACAGCAGTAGAGCGCAGTAACAATTGTTTGAATTTTCAGTGATATTAAGTGTGTTTATCTTCAAACATTGAGACTTATAGTAAGGCATAAATAAGAGATATAATATTTGGATGTTTAAAAAAAGGACAAACTAGTTTACACACGTCTGACTGGCGTATCTCTTATCAAGACACCAGTTTTTTTTTTCAACGTTAACTGTACTACAAATTTGTTTTTCTCGACCAAAATCAACCAGAGTGATGATGTCGGCGTTCTTAACTTGTAAGTCTGAGCAAATAGATAAGATACGTCACTGTCTCAAGCGTCGGAAAGAGAACGATTTATTCTTGAAAAAGCATGAGCTTGTCTGTCGACTGACCTTGGTCTCTTTACTGTATAGAGTGTCACATGTCATGTTGATATACCTAGAAAAGCGAACTTCAGTAGGAATAATTGTTGAAATAAGATAAAGGCATCTGAAAAGGATATTATAAAAATTGTAGCCTCCACCCCCTCAAAAAAAAAAAAAAAAAAAAAAAAAAAAAACTTAAATTATGGCTGAACTGAGCATTTTCCTAAATTAGTTTTTTTCTATGAAAACTGTCTCTCGGAAGCTTCATATAATTAATAATTGCAGTCGGACAGCTATAGCAAAGATTCTGATAACTAGCGTCTTAATAACATAAATGCTGCTTTCAGTATTGTCATGAGAGCAAAATTCAGAGAGTACACAATACGAAATATGCCTTATTCATCGAAGATACACCGCGGCAGAGCAGTAAAGTAGCCGTACACTGATAATTCGACATGGATACGAGCCAATTAGAAAATTATCCACGAAGGCATCCCTTCCTTTAGGCAGATAACCCTAGCATGTTTTGCCTTAATCGAATAAATCAAACCAATTGTTCATCAAAGAGTCTGACTTTACTATCTTTTCTCATTTCTTGGAGAGCTTCTCCTTCAGAGGTTGTATGATCGGAATTGTCTTGTGCCCACAGTGACGCATGGAGGTGAATTTGTGACGGTCTGGGCCACGGTATGTTGTCTGGGAACGTCGATTGTTCTTGATTGTTACATCATTGCCGAAGCCTCTTTTATTCTAGAAGACTAGTTTCAACCAGGGCTCACCAGCAGCCGAGCGTTAAAATCGCTGAACACTGGTACTTCCAATTTGCGTTTGGTCACAAAATCTAAACGCAGATTCCAGGCGAACGGGCTGGGTGCATTTTCGTTGTTTTCTTCATATGTAATATGTATAAGAGACATTTTCCCCCTAGAAAGCCCTGCACAAAGGCATCCCTTCCCTTAGGCAAATAGCCCTAGTGTGCTTACCGTAATCAACTAAACTAAACCGACCAATTTCATCCAGCCTTTAAACACTGTATCTCAAAAAAAAAAAAAAAAAAAAAAAAAAAAAAAAAAAAAAAAAAATGTCGTATATCAGGATAATAGTACACCAACCAATTCACACCTCAAGAAGTGGTAACAAAGGGGTTTGATGAATATGAAAGTAAATTACATCTTCCATGTTCTGTATATTATCCCGATCTCAGTAATGAAGTGAAATAGACATTGTTTTGAAAAAATGACGAAATTACCTTTGATGAATACAATATTTACATCAGCCATTTTTAAGAACAGTCACTGTAGAGTTATCTTTGGTAGAAGGCATACACCCTATGAATAAACTATTACACTCCAAATGCTGATGATTTCTCATTTGTTTTCTAACTTCTATAAATGAAACTTGCTGCAGAATGCCTTGAAGAAAGAACCTATTTCATTACAGAAAGCTGTTATAGTATTTTATATGAAACTTGTTTAAAATGTTTTTATATGGAATTTTTTTTATAAAATGTGAGATGGAGAGATAGTATAAAACACTCAAACTTAAGCTACCTATGACTTTTCATCTTTATCTTTCACTGCTATTACTCACAAATTTATTTTTAAAATTCTATTTAAAATGAATGTAATTTCATTTTGAACATAACGACAAACGAGTGCGTCTAATTTACATATTCATTTTGTATAGTTTCTGTGGCATATACCTTATATTAAAAACAGGCTCATTATCAATAATTTTAAATTGAAATGTTTCTTTGAGTTATTTTATGTATAAATTATAAACTCGGATTGCATAATTGTTTATGTAAGAGATTTAAACTAAAATTATTGTTAATAAATTTGATTAAGTAATTTAATTTGATAAAAAGTACGTACTTATATGCGTTACGGTAATAAACTGATATCAAAGATAAATCATTTTGATGTTTAAAAAGAGTCTAACATGTACATTAAAGTTCTGATTTTAATTTAGTTAATTTTCCATACTGATAAAGTAGTTTAAACTTGAATTTATGGCTTTTGAACCATCTATCTATTATTAAAACATACATCTTAAAATAAGATGCAATGTTTTTGTTGACTGCTCAAAATCAACGACTTTTCATCAACTTATAAATCAGTCAAATCAACTTCAAAATTTTTGCATTAAATATACTTTTTTTGCAGTTATTACTTATAAATAAGTCAAATCAACTTCTAAATTTTTGCATTAAATATACTTTTTTTTTGGCAGCATTATTGTACAGATGAACAGCTCAGATACAAATATTGGGCTTGGTTTAGAAATAGTAACGCCAGATGACGCTACATGGATTTTGACATCATCGTTTGTTATATTTACTATGCAAACAGGTAAAGCTTTTTATTATCACATATTTATTTTTTTAAAAAAAATATGTACCTTGAAAAGGAAAACACTGGCATATGAAAATGAGCATTTCTGCACAATAATATTCTTACTACGTTTAATGGGTAGGTTCTGTGGGAAAATTTAATACCGCATTTTTTTCGCACTAAAATGCTAAAAATCATTGCAAAGTTTAGACACAAAATAAAAACGGAATTGCATATTTTTCGGTAGTTTCTGAAATAATGAAGGCTATAAACAGCTACAGACAGAATGCGACAGAATTTTGGAATAACTGGAACCCACCGAATTAATTTTCGAAAAAAAAAAAAAAAAAAAAAAAAAAAAAAAAAAAAAAAAAAAATATTAGATACCAAAGCTAATGAAAACAGGCTAATTAACTGTTTAAGACATTTGAAGTGAAAAAGGTACGAATAAACAAGTTTGGTTTGTTAGTTAGGTAACTACACATTTCATTAATAATAGTTTGTTTTAAAGACTATCAAAATATAAATTTACGAAAAGCTCCAAAGATGAAATTGGCCAACCAGCGGCCGAGCGGTAAAGTCGTTGAACATTGGTAGTTCAGTTCGTTGTTCGAATCCCGGCTAACGGCCCGGCTACGTCCTGGTTTTTTCCATGTTTAACGTTAATACGAGCCAGTTTCCCTTAGAAAGTCCTCCACGAAGGCATCCGTTCCGTTAGTTAGATAGCCTTCGAGTGATTTATCATAATTAAATAAGTAAAATAAAAGAAAATAAATAAATCAAAGATGAAATTCATTCAAAGATCTTTATCCAAACTATTTCGGAACTGTGCATGCGTGCGCAGAAAACAGAAATTGGAACAGAAGAAAACTTAATTCAGAATCCCACAAAAATATGCATGAATATGCAACGGTGGAAATAAAACAAAACAGTTTTTTAGTTTTCTTAAAATTCATTTCATTTTTTGAAGAAATTTCATATTTGATGAAACACACAAAATATCTATCGATGTAGCACACTTATCCATTATAAAGTGGCCAAGGCATGTATTTGAACACTTCCTTCGAAGTTTCTATAAATTGTAAGCTACAATGCAGATTTTCAAGTTTACTTCCCGTAACTTTTCTGTTCAAATGTTGACCACATTTGGCTACCTCACCCGCTAACAGCAAAATGTTTCTCAGGAGGTACCAGTAATACGTTTATTAATTAGTAGAAGAATCTCACATTAATCTTTTATTGAGTCTTAACATTGTCACATGCTAAGAATTGCTTTGATCAATTGAAAAACTTAAATGAAATAATTATTTTCGGTTACTAGTACTAGGAATATCAGTTACTAGAAACTTAACTTGCTCCTATTTTAAATTATTATTATTCCTAACGGGGGAAAATTAGACAACCACTAGTAGCACAGTTGTTAAAATCACGAATTGCTGAAAGTTTACGCTCAAGTTTTATTCCTGGCGGTTGAACGGACTGACTGCATGAGGTTTTCGTGATTCTATCGATTAAATCAGCGACTTTCTGGGAAACTTAAGTCTAACTGTTTATCATGTGATTTAAATAATTCAGTCGCTTTCTAGTGTCAATGCCGATTTTCCACATGGAATTTTCATATGAAAACGACCTTAGTAATAATGGCGTTTGCCAAAATAAAGAGAGCGGAAATATCTATCTTTTATTACCAAGGAAGTTTTAATTTTCGTATCGATCTTCAAAACTTAACGTATGTAAATATTACTAAATTTTGAAATTAAGGGGGAAATTATCGATATTATTTCGAAAATAATAGAAAAAAGTATGGCCATTGATCCATTCTGACAGCTCAGAAATTTAAAAAAGTGGTGGTGGTGGGGAATAAGGAGCATATATTCTTGTGAAAATACAATTTCCCGAAAATTAACGGAAAACTCAGCTGTCATACATTTCATTATATCCAGTTGGCAATTATATAAATCACTTTATCTTGAAAGCAAGATTTATGCGAATTTTCAAAATGGCATGTATCTTCTTTCTGCATGCGATAAAATCAAGATACGAAGGAATCCTCAATTTGCTGGATCATGATACAACGCTTAAATGGCTGAAGGTTCTCTTCCATTGACAGTGGGTAGTACTTATTATTCGAGCCTTTACATGCGTTTTGGAATTATCCATCCCAGAAATTGTAGCTATTTTATATGCTACTTCATCTGGAAAATGTTCAATTACATTTCAGTGCTTGGGGAAAATTAAGTGTTATCTAGACAAAATGCTTCTTTTCCAATCACGATAGCGTGCTTTTAGACATCTGATGCAGGTTTTTGAAGCTTAATTTACACCAGGACTTCTTGAACTTTTCTACTCGCGATACGTTTTCGTATTAGACAATTTTACACGATTCTGGATATGCACATACATAAGAACATAAAATAAGTATCCAACTAAAGCGTTCATTCATAAAATGTCAAAAATATTAATTCAGAACAATTCTTTGGTATAGTTTGTTAAGGCTAAAGCAAATTTGAATCCTAGTGAAAGGGATATTCCCGTTTTATTTTTGCAGAAATATTTTCATCTTGGTTGAATATTTGATATCGCAGGATGAAGAACATCTTCGACGTATTTCAGAGTTGATCCTTATTTTGAATTTATACTCCTCAATGATGAATACACCTTTTCGCATAAATCTATAGTAAAAAATGGAAGAAATACGTTAAGGGCATCTAGAGTAAAAAATGGAAGAAATACGTCAAAAAAATTAATTCAGAACAATTCTTTGGTATAGTTTGTTAAGGCTAAAGCAAATTTGAATCCTAGTGAAAGGGATATTCCCGTTTTATTTTTGCAGAAATATTTTCATCTTGGTTGAATATTTGATATCGCAGGATGAAGAACATCTTCGACGTGTTTCAGAGTTGATCCTTATTTTGAATTTATACTCCTCAATAATGAATACACCTTTTCGCATAAATCTATAGTAAAAAATGGAAGAAATACGTTCGGAATTTTTTTGAAAAATCTGTTATAATACAGAGCCAGAAATCCCTTAAACGATTATTTAAGAAATTTTCGTTTTAAAACAGTATCTGTTGATAACTCGACGAATTCTCCTGAGGTTTTAATGGCAGATACTAATAAATGTCATTCCAATGGTGTATAATTTTTTAACTTCGATTTTAAAAATCAAAATTTAAAGCTAATTATTTTTGCACCTGCACTTCCAAGCAATTCAAATGATGAATTATATCTTTTATAATTAAATCCTTTGAAAGATTCTTTCACATTACAAAATGATTTCTGCCTCACCTACCAGCGACTGAGAGATAAAATTTTTGAACACTGGTAGTTCGACTCAGGATTAAATCCTGGACGAGCGGGCTTGCCACATGGAAGTTTTGGTGTTTTCTCCGTGTGTAACGTAAATACAAGTTTGTTTTCCTTAAAACGTCATCCACGAAGACATCGCTTTCCTTAGACAGACAGCGTTTGTGTGCTTTGCCATAACCTCTGTGACCAATAAAATCATTTCTAGCTTTACACATTCCTAAATAATCTTTTACCTGCATTTTTCTATAGGTTTAAACCGAATATATTACAATATTTTACTTATGACATATTTAAATCACTAAGTTTTTCCAAAAATTCTAATGAACCGTCGTGGGACGGGCTGCCTGCTTAAGTGTGTTCGTGATTTTCCCCGTGAGTAACACAAATACGGGCCAGTTTCCAAAAGAAATCCTCCATTAAGATATTCCTATCAGACAACCCTAGGGTGCTTTTCCACGATCGATTATAGCAGCAAATAAACTGGTTTTCTTCATGAAGCAAAGAACTTTTAGAAATTTTTTCGCCCTGAGAGAGAATTAAGAGCTATTATTTTCTACCTTTCTGCTATTAGTCAAGAATTTCAATAGAAATTCCTTAGGCAAACAGCCCTCGTGTGCCTTGTTGTAGTCAAACAAATACGTGATCCAGGCTCAAACACTAGCTAATGGGCTGGCTAGAATGTTTTCATTGTCTTTTTCGGTGGATAATGAAAATACAAGGAAGTTTCATTTAGAATGTCTTCTACAAAGATCTCCCTCACTAGTGCCGTAATATGTTTTGCATATTCAGTTAAGCAAATAAACTTGTGTTCTTTAACTACACTGATACTCAAGGATCACGAAGTGAATAGAAGTGATTTATCATTGCCGCGAACTTTAATTTTTACTACAAATCCATCAGTCTTGCCCATCATTGCTCAAATACAAATTCCATTGAAATGTTTTCATTACAAAGCTTAATTTTTGAAAAGTTCATTGATTTTACGATATATTTGTTCTTCCTTTGTGACCTGGAGGCAACAAAACAATAAATCTTCGGGTATATTTCCTTCATATAAATATTTTATATAAAGTAACAACTGTGCCTTATTAGAAACATTAGTTTTTTCATTTGCTGACTTTGCGATTTCCTTAAATCTGCTAACAAGCTGTTCGAATTTCAGAAATTCTTTTACAAACAACACTATTATACAGAAATTTTACTAACTTTATCTCCATTTTTTTCCTCATAAATACTTTAAATAACAGCAGGTAAATACTTGATCTTCTCTGTCGAGAAGAGAAGTCTAGTTTTTACTTAAAAGTAAGAAATTGCGCAAGATGCGAGTAAATACTTTTCATTGACAATAATAAATGCCTTTATCGTTTTTCTTTACTGTAATATTTTAAAAGTTTTCCGAAATTTTTCTTTCGTTTATCAGAATATATGGTATGCTTGGTATCAAGGTGTCATTTTTGTTTGGATAATTTTTTTATTCTACAAAAAATTTCATTAAATTATAGTAGAAAAACGATGTTCTTCTTTATTATCATGATTGATATAAAAAATTTAATATTCCAAAAATGATTCGACATATTTTATTTACTTTATAGATTTAGGTGTCATTTTTTGTGTTTAGCCATCTTGGTCATGATGGCTTTGAGACGAAGTCATTTCCATTTTTATCTCTTCTGCCTAAATTTAGCCATTTGTCCATGATTCAAAAACATTTTTTCCCTGAAATGTAAACAAATAAAATATTTTTCTTCAAAATTACTCAAATAAATTATAGTTTCATTTATGAAATTATATTTGTTCATACTTGGTTAAAAAAGTGCTGTTCACACTTAAAAAAGCGCAGATGATGATGGAAAAGTGTTACCAAAGTACTTCGTTCTTATTTGATGCAATTAAACACTTATGTTCCTGTATAAAAGAAGGATAAAACTGAAATTTTTAAAATCAAGCATTCTATCATAATAGTATGTTACAAAGATATACACATGTGAAATTTTATACTTGCATATTGAAGAATAACGGTAAGAAAATTTTATCAAAATTTTTGTTTTTACTAATTAAGCTAATTTGTTTCTGTAAGGACACAAAAAGTATTGTAAAACATCGCAGTTCTTGGAATCTGAACCGATGTTTTTTAGAAAAGATCGCTGGCATTCCGTTGCATGATGATCTGTGATATATGGGAATCACGATGATTAATTACAATAAGAAATTCAATTTCCACTGCAATCTTTATTATTACTTTATTTTTCTTTTATCATTCTGCCAAGAATAATAACTTGGGTAGAGGCTCGGACTAGGTAATTCACAGAAAAAAAAAAAAAAAAAAAAGAAGAAGAAGAAAGAAAAGGGAGGAAAAAAAGAAAAAGAAAAAGCATGGCTGTTTCATGTATGTGCTATGGAAACGTTATAGAATTAGGTTTTTTGATGCTCTTCCCCGGGATTCGAACTCCGGATTTCTCGAATGCGTATCAAGTGAGCTTCCAATTACGCCACGAAGACATGCGGAAAGGAAGCAGAAAATACCTTTTATACTTCGCCTTCCAAAGGACGAATGGGGATGAGGAGACTCAATCGCCAAATCCTGGTGGTGACGAATTTTCGCCCACCATCTTTTAGTTCGGACGCCACTGTAGAGTCATTATGTTTGTTAATGCTGGAGATGTGAAAAATGTGCAGCGCCCTAGCCGGGATTCGAACTTCGGACCTTCCGAATGCGTGTCGAGTGTAATTCCAGTTACACCACGGAGGCATGCGGAAAGGAAGAAAAAATACCTTATAACCTGAATTTCATTTTAAATTAAATATCTGAAATTAAAATGGCTTTCGTAATTACTTTTGCTAAAGAATATTAAAGAAACTGAGAGAAAGAATTTCGAGTTGAAGTGAAACTTTCTACGAAAATTGCTAAAAAGTTTTCGTGAACACTAAATTCTACTATGGGGATTGCAATCCAAAGATGCATACTACAGAAATAACCCAAAAGGCTTTTGGGAAGAAGGAAAGAAAAGGAAAACAAATATTTGCTTTAAAATAAAATGTAATATTATGTTTATTGCACTCTGGCCTTAAATAAAAAGCTTAGATTTCATCAGTGAAATTGTATAGACAAATTCACTGATTGTATAGACAATTACACTCTTCAGACACCTCTCGGAGAAACATCGGAAGACCGCGTTATTTCCTATTCGACACAAATTCCCTTAAAATTAAACCGTCAATCACTACTATTGACTGGACTTTCTTTCATTTCCTTGCAACAGTTTCCCAAAAGAAATTACTTATCGATCATGCCTAACAGTGTAATTCAAAAATTGACTAGGACAGGAAAACAGCTTACAATGATAAACACTCTTCTTTTTAGGATATTTCTATTGAATACACATATCTTGCAGTATTAAAAAATTATAGTATTAAAATTATATTATAAGCTATAATTTTGATTTTTCACTATGCAATGAAATGTGCAAGAATGTTAATGGATTGGGTCATTAGAAGATTAAGTAAATTTTGGTTATCGTTAAATATGCATGCTTTTCTTTAAGGTTTTCCCATTGCGATAAATGTATTTTGGATCTTTTATTCAAAGCAGTTGGTGTCTCATTTGAGAATTTACCTACAATATCATTAATATTAGATCAGAATGTAATCGAGTCATAAATGAAGAAACTAATAATTGTAGAATACTTAAGTCGTGCATTAGAAAATAAATGAATGAGGGGGGGGGAAATGAAATCTGAAGACTTCAGGTTACTGTTTAACACCTCGAAGAATTAATTTACTATTATAGTTTTAAAGAGTTACAAAAATTTTTAAAAAGTAAAAGATATAAAAGTTATAAGATTAAAAAAACTGCAATCTGATCTTGGAATACAGATAGGCCCACCAGCGGCCGAGCGGTAAAGTCGCTGAACACTGGTAGTTCGGTCCGAGGTTCGAATCCAGCGAACGGGCTGGCTGCATGGGCGTTTTCGTGGTTTTTCCCATGTGTAACGTCTATATGAGCCAGTTTTCCCTAGAAAGTCCTCCACGAAGGCATCCCTTCCCTTAGGCAGATAGCCCTAGTGTGCTTTGCCATAATTAAATAAACCAAACCAAACCAAACCTTGGAATACAGATTTCAGTATAATACCAGAAAAAAATTGAGGCTAAGCAGTTACGATAAGCCTATTAGTTTAACAATTAGTTTCCCAGAAATTAAAGATATAGAAACATGAAACAATTGTATTTAAATGAGCTATTGAAAATGAAAAACCAAGTTTTAAAAAAAATGTTATGATAGTATGTTATCGTAAATTAATGATATTGGAGATTTCTTCACTTAGTTAATAAAGAAATATTTATTTATTCAAGACATAGCTATGCATTTAAATTTCAATGCATCGTTTGCGCACGGGGCATGGCAGCAAGTGCTTCCCTCAATTCCAAATACTTTCTGTTTTTCCAGGAAGCCGAAATGAAAGCAATAAACGCGTTAAAGACTCTTCCTGAAAAATATTTAATAAATGCCTCCAAATTTTTCATGATCACTTATACATATTTGCACTGAAATATTGAATAGATTAATTGTTGAAAAAATTTATAATATTTTATTCAGCTTATGGAAATTCTAAACAATATTTTGTCTTGTACTGCTTCATATTTTTAAAGCCTTTTTTTACATAATTCAATAGCAAAAATGAAAGAAAAACTAATTAATTTTACTTCATACATATATTACACCAGGAAAAAATCTCTTATACAATGTATTCATATTCAGTACTATAGAAAAATAAAAGTCGTGAAATATTCATTATTGTGGGAAAAAAGGAAAGTGTAAATACCTTTTCCCTTCATTATACTTACAAAGAACTTCAAGTTATTGTCAATTAAGACATAATATACAGATAAGAAAAATGGAATGAGGGCAACACATACCTTGAAAGATGATCAGCAAACCACATGAAAATATGAGCTTTAAGTGGCTGCCCCTTTATTTAAAAGATTATTAAAAGATTTAGTATTATTTAAAAGATTTAAGGTGCATGTATAAATCCTAGCATTATAAGTCTGTGTGAAATTAAACAATTTCTTTTTATGAGAAACCCTGCAAACCTGATAATGTTTGATTTTCCCCCTTCCAAATTTTCCGCTTTGGACGATATGGTGGTTAGTGGAGGTTAGTGTCTGCTAGTTCGATTTGGTGTAGCTGTGTGTTCTTCCCTACTTCTCGAGGGTGTAATAGCTATCTATCCCCTATGCTGCATCCTGGACAACGTTCTCGGTGATCAGATTGCTAAACGAACGATGGGTTCGCCCAATCTCGACAAACCTCTTCCGAACAACTCTCCGGTCATTGGTTTAAAAAAAAATTGGAAACATTGGGTAAACAGAAAGATAACCAAGACATACACCGAAAGTTCAGCTAAAATGTAATAAATGCATTTGGCCGATGGGTCGACTGTCTTCGAGCAAGCCGAGTCAATAGGGAGGAAAATTCAGTTTCTTCGCAGCTGTTCCGACTCGCATGTTTTTATTTATCCTCCTCTCAGGGACATGAATATGAGTTAAAAATATAGAAAAATGTGCAGTTCTGTTTTATGTTTCACTCGGATGGACAGCTTGTTAGGCTTATGTAAAAAATCCTGCAACTTTTATGTAATTAAAATTACTCTTATTAAAGTCAGTTAATAATTATAATGAGGGTGAACTACTTGTTACTCTTGTATACCGTAGAGATATAATTTCCTGAATAGAAAGCAAGAGCAATAAAGATTGGTTACATATGCTTACAAATAATCAATAATGTAAAGGATTAATTTAGAAGAATATTTGTTATTAGGTGAAAATAATTTGTTATTCTTTCATTAGAGTAAAGACATGCATTCTGGAATATAAAGCAAGAGCAATAAAAATTGGTTATTTATCCTTGGAAAGAACTAAATCAATTAAGAATTTGAAATCCTTGTTAATTTGCTTAAAATGTCTTATTTTATTTAAAAATTGTTTTCCTACTTTTGAAATTGAATAAATATACTCTTGGAATATAAATATCTTTAAATATCTTTTGCGGACCTCCAAACTACCTGCGCTGCCAGAAAGAAAAGACACCCTTTCCAGCATTTGTTGTAATGCAATATGCTGACCATAACACAATGTGTATTGTACTTCCATAATTACGTTTGCTTGTTTTATTCGTTATTTTCGAATAAAACGATGATTTAAGGTCATCTACGAGTGAAACACGTCATATAAGGATTAATGAATTATTAATAACAGGAATTATATATTTTATGAAAATTAGCTTTTCAATTATTTTTTTGTCTGTGAATAGTTAGAATATAAGAACGAAATACTATTTTCTTCTAGGATTTGGACTTCTTGAGTCAGGGGCTGTTACAAAGAAAAATGAAGTAAATATCTTGATGAAGAATGCAGCTGACGTTGTATTAGGAGGCCTGTCTTATTGGATGTTTGGCTATGGCTTACAATATGGTACTGGACTAGGTACAACATTCTTCTGCGGCATTGGTTCCTTTTTATTAGATTCCGAACCCCAGAATATGGGAGTAGTATTTGCAACTTTTATATTTCAACTTTCATTCGCTACTACAGCCACAACTATTGTGTCTGGTGCAATGGCAGAAAGAACAGATTTTCATGCTTATTGCATATTTTCTTTTCTAAATACCCTAACTTATTGCATTCCGGCTGGGTGGCTCTGGGCAGAACGGGGATTTCTGAAACATCTTGGAGCTCTGGATTTTGCTGGATCATGTGCGGTTCATTTAACAGGAGGGGTATCAGCCTTGGTTGCCGCAATGATGCTGAAACCACGTTTAAGACGTTACGACAATGGACCAGATCCACTGCAAATGGGTAATCCTGGAAATGCTTTAGTTGGAACGTTTACGTTATGGTAATTATTGTTTCTTTTATTCTTACTTTTTATTGCAAGTATGATCATGCAGTGATAAGACATTATGATTTTGCTACATTATATTCTGACTAACAAATTTGAAAAGTAAATAAGTTTTATTATATTTATTATCGTTAGGTGGGGTTGGCTTGTATTTAACTGCGGAAGTTCATTTGGAATTTCGGGAGATAAATGGCATTATGCTGGAAGGTAAGTTTTATTATTATTAATTGTTATTATTGTTGCTCTTCTGGTGGTGGAGATAAGCTCTTTAATAAATGGTAGTCTCGAAAAATATTAGGGTAACCATGTTTAATATTTATTATAAATGTTTGTCATATTAAAAGTTCTTTAGTTATTTAACAGAAAAACTCTTTTCAGAAAACATACGAAATGATAAATATTTGGTATATTTCACCGTCCTCATTAAATATTAAGAGAGGTATAAAGAACTCTAAAATAAAATCAATTGCTACGCGTTCGCATTATTGTTTAGCAATTTATTTTTCTTCTCTAAATTATCTCTTCTTTTCTAAATTTTAAAAATATACACGAATGTCTGTTAATAGCGCAAATATGAAACATTCTTTTAACTATAGTTTCAACGTGACATCAGTCGGCCTTTCTAAATCTTCAGCTCATAAAATGTTAAGTAGAATACTAAAAAGTAATATTTATAAAAGTTAAATCTGCTAGAAGTTTATTTTAATTGCTCAAATCTATCCAAAACAGTCAATTCCTTCTGCGATTTTAATCTCTGTAGGACAGTGTCTGTGGATTCGTACTGCTTAAGAGGTACAACGTTATGTTTGGCACGATTTAGAATGCGAAAAACAACCAAGATTTATATTTAATAGCTAAAGATGAATGACCATCAATGGCTATGATGCAGTAAGTGTTAATTTCTCCGAATTATAGGGTAAGAGGATATAACGTAACCAGTAGTGGATCACTTAAAGGCATTCATTCAGTTACCATGAAATTTGCAGAGCATTCTAGCAAAAAGTATTTACCTTCACCATTGCTGAAAACCTTGCATTTTATACTTATCACATCAAAATGCTCAAAGTTATATAAAAAATTAAAATCTTTAATTTAATTTAAATCTTTTTTCCAGTAGTAGGCATATTAAATTTATAGCGTATCTATAGTAGGTTCAACTGATCGGGACCACCCGTATAAAATTTGTAAACGCAAACTTACAGTTTGTCCTATGTATTGTTATTAATATTATTTTAAAATGCATGAAAAACACAAATACTCTTTGAAACATTTTCAGACCCGAGTGAGTTACAATCTAACTTCATAGCAGTTTTACTTTTAAAGCCAATTTTATTATTAAAGTGTGCATTAGTGCCGATCTTTTATTCTGAGTTGAGGTTTCAGTACTACCCCTGAACACGTATTGCATCATTTTTTATTTCTTAAATCCACACGGCATATTTCTGTGAATTCTTTTTTCTGTCCTAAAAGTGATACAAGTATAAATTATCCTTTCTACACTTCAGTTTTTCATGATAGATTCCCTTGTTTCACGATTTTCATCCCTAAATGTATTCAATTGTCGCATTCTTGTAGAAGCTTCGAATGAGACGGGTGGAAGATCTGGGCGATATTTTTGTGGCTTTCTCTTTCTTCTCTTCTTTTCCTGTTTTTTATCTTTCTTTTTCAGTTTTTCGTTCCTTTCTGCTTGCACCTTTAATTTTTTTCAGTACATCGTTTTATTCACATCTATAAGAAAATTCTATTGTTTTCTTTTTTCTTTATATAGATATAAAATAAGAAAACATTTAATAATCGAAATTTAGTAAATTAAATCTTCAGAATTTTTAGCTTTCTTTACTATAAACCTCCACTGCCGGTGCAAGTTCGCCATCTATGCTGGCTAATAAAAGAAGAGTCAAATTAATATTTTCATCAATTCTTGCAGTGAGTAAGCTCTTTTTCAATCCTCTTTTAGCATGATCTTTCTCTTACTTTGTAATAAAAAAAATAAAAAAAGAAAAAGAAAAGCAGTCAGCACAGTTGAGAAATATACATGGATTGAGTAAAGCATCTTCAAATTTCTTGCATTCGAAAAAACGTGCGAACTTCTGGAAACCAATTGTTTATACGTTTCGTGATGTCTGTTACCTTGGTACATTAGAAATTGTTTCATAAATAAGAGAAAGTTTCAGATTGTAGTATTTTATATGAATCGCTTGCGTCAAAAGGCAATATGCCCTTTTATTCTGCAAATTTAGCTCTTTGAAGCACGTAATACAAATTTAGTTTCTAAATGTTACATGGCCTTGGATATATATTTTAGAAATACAATATCTTTGCATCTTTTCTGCTTTTCTGATTTCATATGCGTCTTTTTTCTTTCAAGGCTACCAGTTTAATACTTAACTTAAATAATTTAGTGTTGCTGCAATTTTTATACTTAAAATAATTGTGTGTAAATTTAAGTAAAACTTTAACTTAAATTGCCATTGGTTTTATGAAAAAGCTTTGTTGATGAAATTTTTGTATAAAGCCAACTCTTAATTTTATTAAGAACTTATTTTATATAACTGCTTAATTTTATTTTCAATTTTCGTATGTTTCTCTGCCATATAATTAACTTGTAGAGTCCATGTGGGTGAACTTCTATCTGAAACTGGAGTAGCAGAAAACTACACAAGAGAAGGGTTAAAATATCCTTTATTAAATTTTTTGAAAATTTACAATGCGTGAACTCGACTCTTACAAATTTCGCCTCTGCTTGGGCGGTAACTGAAAGTCACGTAATTAAACTAAAATTTGAAGATATTAATAAACGATGATAATTAATTAATAAACGATTAATAAACGATAATTAATAAACGATGATTAATAAACCTAGACTACAGGGCTCAGCGAGATACCGTAACTTAAACCCCCTTTCTAAGCTAGTGGCAGCAGTTAAATGCAATTAAGCCACTTGAACCAACAATAAGCAAACGTACCTACGGCAGAGACGGGCGGCTAGAGCCTAACTTTCCCTTTTCTCCTACCGAAACTCGTCTTTTAACTATTTCCTTCAAAGTAGAAAATTTGCATTCTTTCACGCGCGCTACAATATTTACCTATTCTGGCACTGACAGTTAGGGGAATGAGGGCTTATAGGAAAGATTAAAATAAAACTTTAAATTATTATTTAAAATAAATATAAATCCCTACAAACTGATGATTTGTTCTATAATTTTATGGTTTCTTTTCAAACTAATTATTTCTCCATTGTATTTTTCGCATTATGGAGTAATGTCTGATTAGAATGGGTCTTTTCTGCTTCCTGTAGTTGCCGAATAAAGAAATGATAATGAAGAACTGTCATGGAAAAAAAAATGAAAGACAGCTAAAATGCATACAGATTCATAAATTTGGAATCAAAACCAAAATCATACCGAAATTGAGTTTTCTACACAGTTTCATGAATGAAAGATATTTTAATATTATTTAATAATACCTTTCTATGCTAGATCAAAGTTTCTTAGCATTCGGCACTGATAGAAGCTGTGAAGGAGTTAAAAGGTCACTTTTAAAATATAAGATTTTTTTGTACATTCCCTTACGGCAACAAATCCGATACAAAATTAGAATGATGGATTAATAAAACATATATTTACACTAAAACATCGTACTATATCATTCCCAGTGGTTGAGCAATATTATTGCAATACTACTGTTTTAAAAGGAAATAAAAAAACTAGAGGATATTCGAAAAGAAATCCATTAGCTATCATTCCACGTGCTACTTTGTTGATCAACATAGATATCAATAAAGTATAGTAGATATATAGGTGATAGATATCATCAAGTTCCACGTGCTACTTTGTTGCCATTTGGGGAAGCGTAAGATATCTAATTTTTCTTTGAAATTTAATCTGCCTATTACTGACCAACGAACTAAGCGTTTAAAAGGAATAACTATAGTTCCTTATCTCTTTTATTAATTACCAGCTGGGCCCGTGAAATTGCACTAGCTGAATTTACCAAAAATGTTATATATATTTTATTTTTTAAAGTAACTATTAGGCAGCTAGACACTCCAGAGGATAATTATTTGAAAAGTGAAACAAGTGATTCAGCGCAAAAAAGAGGTTCGAGAATAATAGCCCTCCTGGGCTAAAATATGAATGGTAACACTTAACACTGCAATGGAAATTCTAAATATATGTTGTTTTTAAAAATTTTGTGATTTTTGCTGTTGAATTTTATGCGGCGTAAGTGCAGAAAAAATGTTTAATAATAAAGTTCAAAAGGCAAAAAAAAAAAAAAAAAAAAAAAAAAAAAAAAGTTGTCAGCGGGAGTGAGTCCAATAGCTGATACATAAATGCGTGCTCGGTGAGAGCATAAAAAAACTTAATGAACCCTCTGGTGCGACACGAAAATCTGAATTGAGCTTTTTTTTTTTTAAATTTTATTTATTTACTTATTTTTCAATTATTCTGCAAAATTTGATACAATTTTATGAGATTTTTATCTTCTCGTGTATATGCTTTGAAAGAATTGTCAAAATGGGCATTGGAAGGCCAGACTTAAAACTTTAGAATTCCGAAGACATTTATTCTCATCTAGTTATTAAAAAACGCTGTGAAAACCATTGTTTTTGCAATATCTAAAGCTACTGTATATAATACACTGCTCGACATTGAAAATGCAACACCAAGAAAGAGTGGTCAGAAAGTGATGAAATTTGGAAAAACACAGAGACAGCAAGCAGCAATAAGTGGTGTTTATTTCAAAATGATTTAGTCAGAATACAGAGCGAGAACGGCGTCGGCTCAGTAGGATAGTTGATAGTTGACGGGGGACGTGTGCACCATTCCTTTACCGTAATGGTTAATTGGCATATGCAGCACGTCCACCTCTATCTTGAGCCAGATGGGCCACACAGGCGCCTCGCACCATACACCGAAACCCAGCGACCAGGCCATCCAGGTAGCAGTCCAAAAGACCAAAGAAGCCCCCAGAAGCATGTTCACACCAACCGCCCGGGCCTAGTATTTATTGAGTCAAAGTTCAACAAATACATGGCCAGACAAGGGCTCAAAAAATAGATAAATAAAGGGTACATTCGTACTGAATGAGGCAGGGGCAGAGTCTGCAAACGGCGTCCAATCACATCCCACACATGTTCGATTGGTGACAGGTCAGGAGAGTACGGTGACCAGGGAAGCATCTGTATACCTTGCAGAGCATGTTGG